AGAGAGAGAGAGAGAGAGAGAGAGAGACAAAATCTGAAGCAGGCTCCAGGGTCTGAGCTGTCAGCACTGAGCCCAATGCAGGGCTCGAGCCCATGAGCCAAGAGATCATGACCTGAACCGAAGTTGGATGCTTAACCGACTGAGCCACCCAGGAGCCCCAGGATCTGTTTTAAATTTGCTTTTCTTATACGGATATCCAGCTGTCCCAGCACCATTTGTTGAAAAGACTTCTCTTTCTCCACTAAATCGTCTTGATTTTAATAGAAAATCAATTAATTGTCTATATTTGGGTCTTTTATTTGTTCCTCTCATATACCTGTCTCTTCTTTCACCAATGTTACATTTCCTTAGTACTATAGCTTTCGAGCAGGTTCTTGAAATCAGGGTATGCAAGTTCTCCAACTTTGTTGTTCGTTTTTTAAAAAATAGCTTATGCTGTCCTAGATAATTTGAACTTACATATATGTGTATTTGATCAGCTCACGTCGTGTTAAGGACAGTGGTGTCTACATTCATGAGGGGTATTGATCTATAGTTGTCTTGTAATATCCTCATCTAGTTGGTATTTGAATAATACTTACCTCATAAAATGAGTTGCCTAGCATTCTATCTTCTATTTTCTGTAAGAGTATTTGAAGAATTGATGTCATTTCTTCCTTAAATATTTGATAGAATTCACCGGTGAAGCCAGCTGACCCTGGAGTTTTCCTTGTGGAAGGTTTTGAATTTCATTTAATTATCGTGAATTTAACTGATATAGGGCTATGCAGATTTTCTGTTGCTTCCTGTGTCAGTTTTGATAATTTTCATCTTTCTTGGAATGTGTTCATTTTTTATACATTATCAAATGTATTAGTATATAATTGTTCAGAAGATTCTGATCTTTTTAAAAACATTTTTAATGTTTATTTTTGAGAAAGAGAGAGAGAGAGAGAGAGAGAGCACACACACACACACACAAGCGGGGGAGGGGCAGAGAGTGAGGGAGACATAGAATCAGAAGCAGGCTCCAGGCTCTGAGCTGTCAGCACAGAGCCTGACGCAGGGCTTGAACCCATGAACTGTGAGATCATGACCTAAGCTGAAGTCGGACTCTTAACCGACTTGAGCCACCCAGGCCCCCCTGATCTTTTTAATACCTGTAGATCTGTCATGTTTTCCCCTTTGTCATTTTTGACAATGGTAATTTATCAAGTTGATCAATTTTATTTACCTTTTTAAAAACTGAAGAGCCAAGGTTAGAGTTTCATTCATTGTTCTCTATTGCTTGAATGCTTTTTCTTCTGTTGAGTTCCTGTTCTACCTTTATTATTTCTTAGCTTTGATTAATTTGTTCTTCTTTTCCTCATTTTCCAGAATAGGAGCTTAGATAATTGATTTAGACTTTTCTTCTTTCCTAATATGAACATTTATAGATATATTTTCTTTGCCTCTGTTGGGTAAGTTATATCCCATAAATTTTGATGTGTTGTTTTCATTATCACTCAGTTCAAAATATTTTCTTTGACTCATGGGTTATTTGGAGTGTGTTAATTTCCAAATATTTGGAAATTTCCTAGGTGGTTTATGAAGTTGAGTCTGAATTCAATTCTCCACAAGATTTCAATCTTTTGGAATCTATTGAGATTGTTTCATGTTCCAGTGTATGGTCTATCTTGGTAAACACACTACATCCACGTGGGGGAAAGAATATATATTCAGTAGTTGTTGGGTGTAGTCTTTTATATATATAAATTAGGGCAGGGTGGTTGATGGTGTTCTTCAGATCTTCTGTGTCTTGACTGATACTTTCTACCTTGTTCTATCAAATATCAAGAGAAGAGTTAGTGTCCCAAGTATGTTTGAAAAATTATCTATTTCTTTTTTTAGTTTTCCAATTTTTGCTTCCCGTATTTTGAAGTTCTGCTACTAAGTCCCTATATTTATGATATGTGTTGCTTTCTGGTATATTAACTTTCTGATCCGTATCGTGTTGCATAAGAGATTTTCAAATCTCTTATGTGCCATTGGCATAGCCAGTCTGCCTTTCTTGTATGCACTATTTGTGTGGGAGATGTTTTCCTGGCCTTTGCTTTCAATATATTTGTGTCTTTTTATTTAAAGTGTGTATTTTATGGCATATAGTTGGCTTTTTCTTTTTTAAATCAAGTATGGCAGTCTTTGCCTTTTAGTAGGAATTTTTAGTATATTTTCATATAAACTAGTTGATAGGATTATAGTTAGGTCTGCCATTTCTCCATTTATTTTCTGTCTCAGTTCCTTTTTTGGGGATTCTTTTATGTTATTCAATTTTTTTAGTATTCCATTTTAATTTTTCATTGGCTTCTACTTATATCTTTCTGAATTGTTTTTAGTGGTTACTTTAGTGATTACAATACACATCTTTAACTTTCCCCGATCTACTTAAAAGTAATATTGATTACTTCAGGTAAAGAAAATTCATTTTAGTATCTACAGGGCCTAGCATGGTATTTGATACAAAATGGGAGATGGATAGAGATTTCTTGAATGAACAAAATCATAGGTATTTATTTACGTTGTACCAAAAGTATATGGAGTTGATTCCAGAAAAAAACTTTCTGGCGAATGCCAGGCAAGTTAACTGAAATTCACTTCAAATTTTAAACATTATTACATTTTTAGTTGACTTGAATTTACAAATCTTATAATTTTCATGTATAGTCAAAATTCTGTGTACTATTTTATTTTTTACACATGCTTAATACTTTTGTTGTAAAAAATTAATATAGACCTCTTCTTACCTTAATTTCTGAAGTTTGGAAAAAAAATCTCACTTTCCAATTTTAGAACACGGAGACAATGTTACTTTAATAATAGAATTCTTTATGTTTTCGTGAAACTTCCAGCTGTTAGTCATCTCGGCCACTCTGCCCACATGATATCCTCTTCCCATACCTAGCATGCTGTCTTGGCTTTGAGCAGTTATTTACTGGTGCATAATGTCCACACAGAAACACTGAATGTGTTTTATGGTCTGCAGCAACCTGTGGGATGGGCTAGCTTTGAAGCCTAGGTTTGAGGGATGCCCTTGAAACGTTTATTAGGTTCCAGAGGTCAGAAGCATCCCGAGAAGAGTCTAGTTCCAGGTCTTGCCCCAAAGGAGAGACCCAGTAGGAGATTCTGAGTTTCTAGGAGCCAGCTCCTGCCAGACACAAGGCAGATGGACACTGGGTAGAAGACAGAAATGCAGCCAGAGGAAAAGGAGATAGTTAAGCTCTCCTCAGAAAAGGTACAAGACTCACATGACTACTGTGCTCCTTCTCACCAAGACAAAGCTTTCCTCCTGTCTTGGAACCAACTGCACACTCACCCTACTTTGTTTACCTTTAAAGTTCATTTGGACACATTTTGTGAAATCTTTCTTTCTTTCTTTTCTTTTCTTTTCTTTTCTTTCTTTCTTTCTTTCTTTCTTTCTTTCTTTCTTTCTTTCTTTCTTTCTTTCTTTCTTCGCCTACATGGCTACCTTAAATGTTTGAATATTCAACTTTCCTACGTTTTAGTGAGAAACGATGCCCTTTAAGATTTCCAACTGTCCTATAGAAGTTTCTAGATTTGCGATCCCAAACATACAGACCTTCACACAAGAAAAATTCAAGTTTTCGGTGTTTCATGGGAAGCTGAATGTCTTTGTATCATAGTGTTCCCATTACATTCAGAAATGACTCTCCCTGCTGCTGCTATTATTGAAGGCTAAAGTTGTTCTTAGAGATGAATTCCTGAAACTCATCCATGAATTTTCATGAATTTTGAAGCTGTGTTGTGTCATGGCTAATAAGGAAGTCTTTGGAGTTTGAATCCTGGGTATGCCACTTACTGCGTGTGTGACTTACTTGTAAAAGAAGTAATCATAATATTTAACTCAGGGTTACTGTGAAGGTTGCAGCTCTGTGTTAAGCCCTTAGCAGTGCTTAGCATATAGGTGGTCCTCTGGCAATGCTGCTCATTATAATTTCTAAAAAAAAAAAATTATGTTTATTTATTTTTGAGAGAGAGAGAG